GATACATGCCCCTTGTTTACAAGAAATCTTAATTTAAGAGCTGCATCCATGCCTAACTATACGCTCCCCGCTGAGAGTGAATGACTGACACACTCTAAGGGATTGATCACTACTTGTGAGAAATTGATGCGACGATATGCAAGAGTCAGTATAAATTAATTGCCTCACTGCTTATCTCACCGTATGATGCAAGAAGACCACTAGTACCCATATACTTAATGTTTTTTTGCACTTGACGTTAAAAATTCCCACAGAGTTTGGCCTACACCCTGATATCCCTTAGTTATCAATTGGAGTGGATGAGTTGCACACCATTTAAGAGGCTGCCGTAAAATAACCGACTGGCCTGCACTACTGAATTGCATACCACACGAACCAGTGATTGTGGCACTATTGGAATATGTTTCTTGATATTCTTTTATAAGATTTACATGGCTAAACATACAATGGCGAGAGATGTGTGTTAAAGTGCTTTGTGCTTATACTAACCAGAGATGATGATTTGTCACTAAAAGGTTGTCAGTTAATGCTGCTTTTATTAGTTTAAATGCTACTTACAGTGAGGCTGGGTGGTTATGTTCTTTTAATACCCAAGTCCAAGCTAATGGTCTCGACGCAAACACTTGTAGGCTTCATGGGCATGAGGTGCCTTTGGCAGAGTGGCACACGCCATCAGATGCAATTGTTCCGTGATGAATGCCCTACGATCTGATAAGTCTTGACTTACCTGCACAAATGTGGTAGAAATGCAACCTGTTTGGACGCGCACGTTCCTACACGAGAATCCTGAATTTTACTGGTGCACACGTTGTCACCATTGAGACGGCGATTTTCGGACGTGTGACTTCTTTATCAAAATGCTATGTGTACACACAATCAAACTGCTATTCACAAGACTGACACCAAAATCACGCCTATCTAGGATTACGAGATATGGACGAGTTTCCTGCAATTGGAAACAAACATTACTTTCACCATGTGTTCTTCAGTAAATGATGTAGATGCTTGAGTAATTTTGGATTCTAGTTATTGCGTTAGAATGGCATTTACGACATTGTAAAATCACCATTGAAGCCTTGATGCATTGGGAGCAAGCGTGAAGTGTGCTGTTGTATTTCGTGTAAAAGGCAACGACAAGGTCACCACAGGAGAATCACACTGTCCAGAGGACATCAATATCACTTAGCATCGACAATGACGTTGCTCAAATATGCTCCAGTCAGTAAAATATTTCCGTGTAGTGAATACTGTCAGCTCAAAATAAATCACTAAAACGCAAATTAAGTGTGGGTATTCCACTGCTTTAATTTCGTGAGTGCATTAATACTGTGGGAGATATTCGGTGATGATACACTTGAGCCACTGCAAACGTTTAATTATTTGTGCGCACCATTTTGCCTATAATTGACACATACAACCACTAAAGCGCTATTGCTAGGGAAAAGGAAGCTTCAGTAGGAGACGTTCACTTTCTTTGGAAAATCCCCATAAACTATCCTCAAATCCTCATTCTCATTTTTCGTAAAATCGACTGAAATTAAAATTCAGTATAAAAAAATACAATAGAGGCTAAATATTAGGCAAGATGAGGGTATTAGGAGGCAATTGTAAAGCGAAACTAAAATAGGGCATAATCAACACAGTCATTGAGCATTGCCACACTCGGTGGCATGTGAGGCCAAGATATTTGGTGCCAATTGAATGAATTTTCATACTTAAGGGTAATTCGATCAACCGGGTGGTCTTTCGGATAAAGCCTGGAGTGCACAGATTATTTTTTACTTTGGAGGTCATTTGACTCCTCACAAAACCACCTTTCGGTGGCATTATCCTTAATTCTTGACCATGAACATTGACGTGATTCGCTGATACCAACTTCGACCTACTACAAACACATAAGCTTTCTTTTAAAAAATTCGGCTCACTCCATACCACGGCAGACATATTTGTTGCTGGTAAGCTTCAATAACTTTAATTAGAGAACATTTTCCCATTAATCTTCACTCGAGCAAAACAGTCTTTAAAAATTATCCCCTGAACATGCTACGTATTATAAGTCAGCAGGTGGACGAACACACGGCCAGAGGCAGAAATGTGGAACATCAGCGAAATGTAGACAAGCGAAGGTCATATAAAGTGTACCTCTTAATCGGGCAGTGTCTCATTTTGGTCTTCATTCTTAGTGTAAAATGAGATTCAGCTCGTTTCGAGCGATGTCAAGCATTCATCACTGTCTTTAAAATGAAGTCGTCACCAATTGCAATTGCGTATATTATCTAAGCTAGAAGATTTTACCAGTTTTAAAGTTATGAGGGAGAAATAAAATTAGTGGAGCGATTACTTTCACACGATTTACTCCATGATTCACCACAATTATACGGACGCTTTCTTTTTTTAGTTGCAGAAACGACAATTTACGACGGAAAAGGCGCATTTGGATTTTTCTACACAGCTTCACTGCAAGCACGTGCGCACTAAGCATGAGAGAACTCGCCGTAAGCGCCACACCCACACCCACGCGTTTCTGGCTACGACGCAATGAAAAACAATGCGGTGCTGAGGGACCTCTATTTGCTGCTGCAACTGCTCTTTCACTTAATCAACTAACCACAGTGATGCGATCAAATTGGAGAACATATAAATACACACAAGGCAGTTTGCTAGTCATGAACGTGTGTCATGCTGAAAATTGCCGTCTTCCTTATTACTGTCGCCTACTACTCGGGTGGGTATTCATTTATCCATTTTAACTTAATTAGTTACTGATCGCGTCACGGTACTTTACAACCTAATGCACGCATTAATGATAAGTTTGGCCTGAAGAAGTAGGCAATTTTCGTTACACATAACATTAAAATCGTCGTCGCTTTAAACTCACAAATTAAATACGCATTTGCAAAATGCATTTTAAAAAATTTAAATGCATGTTTACATCTGCGAAACAGGAGCTGAGCCAGTGCTATGGGGTTCTCGAATCGTTGGAACACCTGCGGGACAATCACCAACTATGTATTTCCGTCTTCCCAAAAAAGCCGTATGCATGACACCTGTGTATAAATAGACGCTTTTTAACATGTTGGTAAACACTCTTATGTAGGCTTCTTCAACACAGTTTTACATCGTATATGGCAGTCTTTTGGATTGGCATAGCTAATGCGTGCCATAAAATTCCATATCGCCCTGTCATTTGACTTGCATGCCCATGCATTAAAGGCTACAGTTAACGTTTTAATTTGTTTTAGTCGATAGTGGCATTGATAGATGGCATACGAATTCCGATCGGCATAAAAGATGGCAAGTGTTATCTTAATGGTAATCAGGAGTGGGGTTCCCCTTGTGAAATGGATGAAGGTAAGCAGAACTTGGACAAAACTCCTCTCTTCTATGCACAGCTCTCACCATTCAATTATTTGTCTATTATAATAAGTAACCTCTCCCGTGTGACTAGTTAAGGGTATCAACACTTTGTTTGGTACATCGACAACGTGAACTACTGCACGTTGATTCTGCGTAAAAGTGGTAGTAGGGACTGCACAATATTCATGTGCCTAGGCAAAGGTTAAGAAACCAAATCATTCGTAACTATATGGGAACATTGTATGTAATTTTAGAAAGTGTCAACATCACTCTGAAGGACGTATCCAAACAGGAGGCATTACAAATATTAAGTCTATATTTTCTCACGTCTGCAGCATTTTTCGTGCCAACTTGTACTTTTCAGAAGCCAAAGCAAGGTGAGTAGATAGAGCTGAAGAAATGTGTGCCGAACTTTTGCAAGATAAACGCTTGTAAATGCCTTCCTTGGGAAGCAGCAATTCATGCGGTCACTGTGGTTTATGTGATCCTTGAGCCCTTCATTCACTTGACAGTTGAGGGCAAGTAGAGTTGGCAAGTGTAATCTCTAGGTGTTTTGCATACAGATGAAGTCGATTTGCAGACGTCGTTTCCACTTTCTCGATTTGGGAAAGGGCAACCGAATGTCGAAGTCGCATTAGCTGCCCAAGGTGCAAGAAGCCAAAGTGTGGTGCGTAAATCCTTTTTATACTTGTTAGCTGAACGGCCTCCTCCATTTCTCACAATTTTCGCCTAGCACCGGTCTTCAACTGCCCATGCTTTTGTGCTCATAATTCTCTCCATTCTTCCTCATTGCAATATAGGCTGCCCTAATAGTGAATGGCCAACTGAAGTGTAGATGGACAGGAACGAGTCTGGAAGTATCTCATTCACCTTTCTGCCGTGAGTTTGATGCACTTTCAGTCGAGCCATTTGCCATGCTCATTAATGCAAGTGGCATGCTAATTGCACTTTCTTCCACTCATTCAAGGTAATATGTCGAATGATACAGGATCCGACCTGAGAACATTTGTTTTAAATATTACACGGAATGACACTGTCAATTATACCACAATTGAGTGGTCTGCAGGAAATAAAGCATTGACAGTCAATATTGACTGGACACAAGAAGGTGAGTGGACATCCCAAACGATTTGCTAGATCAACGAATTTCTTTGCAATCAGTGCCTTGGTTAACAATATTTCACGGTGTAATGTGTGCATTGAGCTTGAGCAACACACAGTTTATTCAAAGTAACTGACAACTCTGCATTGCTTTAGGTACATCGCCAGAAATAGAGGAATGCAACAGTGAGTTCAAGTGCATGACCTCCACAACGGTGTAAATGTCAAGCATCACCTTGTGCATTAAAATGCAGTTCTACTTCTTCTTTGCAAACTTCTTTAAAAGCCGTGAAGTACATTAGACTGCTAAGGAATAGTCCGTGTTCATTCAATATTATAGATATATATATATATATTAGAATTATTTGCTCGACATATCTTTTAGGTTATCAGGTTACAACGAGTAAGTGAATTGAATTGCACCATGATTAAAAATGTTATGTAAAGCTAGTGAAGATGTTTTCCGTTCCAGAATTCGCAACTCCACTAATTCCTGTCGTGTTTTTCGATACAATTAAGCTACACTGTGGGCATGTTGTGTTTAAGCCTACATTCAGTCCTCAGCCCCCTCTATCCGACACACATTGCCCACCAGCCCACCCAAGGCATGTAGCCAAAAATTCCAAAAGCACATCTACCGATTTTTTGTTTAAAAATCGTAGCAATTTGCGTAGATATAGAGCCAATGTTCCATCACACTTTACTTTTGGAACCGACAATAATGTGTAGAGCAAATGTACAAAAAGTGTAAGGAAAAAAGTGACTCGAATAATACAATCCAAATAGTAGTATTTTGCAAATATTGGCACGATAAAAGGGGAATAAAAAGAGCATTGTTCGCATTACATTGTCAGCCTTATAAAATTC